TAAGGGGCGAGTTGGCCAGGGGGAGAGTGGGTCAGGGGGCGAGTTGGCTAGGGGGCGATTTGGCAAGGAGCGAGTCGGCCAGGGGGCGAATCGGTCAGGGGGTGAGTTGGTAAGGGGCGAGTTGGCCAGGGGGCGAGTTGACCTACAGTCACCTGTTCTTTTCTGCATGTTCTGTTTTCTTTTTGACTTGATCTTGGAGAGCATGTCACAAGAAACATTTAGATATAGGCCATAAGTTTGGATTCCACCTTGTCGGTGGTAATTTAATTTTATTTGGGGCTTTCTCACAACCTGTAGTCTTGTCATCTGTCTTACAATGCTTCAGCACTGTTTCATTTTAAGTGATATTTATGCAAAAATTTCGGCAGGCTAGAGGTTATATGGCTTCCATTCCCAGCACATGTACATGTACTGACTGTGATGACTGATTGTGACATTTTGGAATCTCTACTCCAGGCGAGCTCCAAGGAATTGGTGTTGCGGCTGTGCAATCAGGCATTCCTTTACAGAGATCTGATCCAGCCACCGGCCGAGGTTGTGCACAAGGTCGCCGAGGGGCTGACTGCCAGTGAGGGTGAAGCTAGCAAGGTACTGAGCTGACCAGGGCTCGGATGTCTCACAGCTCCACGTCCACATCTGAAGCCATGCTTGTGTAGTCCCTTAGGGTTTCATCTTGTGTATTGTTTTCTACTGGAACCTTCTTAAATTTGCCCAAATCTGCCATTTTACTGGGATCCAGTGGCACACTTTTGTACCTCAATCTTCAAAGGGACATTAAGCCCCGTGTACTGTAGAGCAGCCTTCATTTTGCTGGATTTTCCTCAATCCTACAAAATCATTTAGAAACCATGAAGGATATGGGAGGTTAAGGGTTAAACTTCCATCTTGTTCGTCTTTTCCATGTTCAACTTATCCAAGTTCATCTGTTCCTCTTATTTTGCTTCTTTGAAAATCAGTTGTTACGGTCCCTCGGTAATCTCATCCGGAATGTACTCTACATTGGCTGTACAGATGCTACCTCTGTCCAAGCTGTCTTCCCAAGTAAGTCTGACATACATGTGCCAGTGTAGTAAATGTGTTTCAATGGACATTGTATGCAGCAATTTTCTTTTATCTGTAATACTTAGTAGAGTTGTTCTACTTCTTATACCATCCACACTGTGGGTCCAAAGTGATCACTTCTCATATAGGTTTTCACCTGGGGTTGGAAGACTACTTGATGTGTCAATCCAAAGAGGTCCTTAGTAAAACTTGCAGTAAAGGATCTATATTGAAAACATTGCTTTTGACATGAAATCGAGCTAGAGGATTTGGTGAAATTTAAGCACAGTATGTTGACCTCACAAAATTTGTTGGACAAATAAAATCCTCTGGAACATGTTCTATTTCAGTTAAATACTTCTTGCAAGATCAGAATATGGCCCTTGGAGTATTTGCCAAGAATTTACATTGCTTTAAGGACCTTCTAGTACTGAGCCAATGTGTGGTCTCTGCAGTACACATGTTTGTATAGGGAGAAACAAGGGGTCTGTGCTGTGGGCAAGATGGAAAATTTGGCAAGATTTGTACTTAGGCTGTAGGCTACTCAAAGTTAAGACTGCAACTAATTATGGAAACTTAAATAAGCTTAACAAAAGTACAGAGATATCCAGTAAGTGAATATTTCCCCTAACGTGTGTCACATGTTTACAAGAAGGAACAGATGTCTGGGACCTGATCTAATCAAGTGAAAACTTTGCTGAAGAAACTCTTGCTCAATTTCTCTTTGAGCATTCCTAGTTTGTTCAAAGTTACAATCAGCTTTTGAGAGTTCACCTTCTGATGTATTGTGGCTTCCTGTCAAAGATCTGGTGAAGATATTAATTTTCCCCACATCTGCATCCAGGTGACTTCCACAAGAATCTGAAGGACCTCCTCACCAGAATCTTTGCCGAAAATTTGTGAGTGAAAATTAAATTTGTCACCCAAAAACTCCATCGGGTTTGGACTCTCCAGTCCTCTTTCTCCTGAAGATGAGACAAGTCCTACAGACCCATCCAGCCACCAGAATTAGAAGCCATCGATTCCACATTTGGGTACAGGGGCCCAATTTCACAAGGCTGCTTACCGCAAGGGAAATATCAGCGCTTACCATAGCATGAAATTCTGTGCTTATCGCGAACATATTCATGGGTTAGCGAGGATATTTGGCTTGTGAGCATGCATACATCCCTTAACTAAGGATTCTGTGCTTAAAGGGTTAGTGCAGAATTTTTCTGCTTGCGCGGTTAGTGCAGAATGGAGATTGTAAGCGCAGAATTCTACGGTAAGCAGCACCATGAAATTTGGCCCTGGTGGCACGCTCATCTTCACTGCCCTTGAGACTGTTAGGGTGTTGTAACTTGTCAAAATGCATGTGAGCGTGATGCAATTGCACTGCCACATAAATGACATTTACATGAATCAATCTGTTGTTTTGGTATGTTTGTTTTGTTCATTGCCCGCATGTTTGACCAAAAAGGTCATTTGTTGGATGACTTCTGAATTTGGCTGTCTTTTTGAAATGATACAGTATATTTCTTTATCTACAGGACAACGTGGAGAAACAGATCTGTCAATAGCCAAAGTGAGTTTCCCATCATTTAGTGAGTTCTACTTTCTGTGATATATATTGGCTTATCACACACCTTCAGATCATGAACCCAGGATATCCCAGGTTGTGTCACATCCTACTGTCAGATCCTGGACATTGGATGTCACGGGTTGTGTCACATACCCCCAGATCCTGAACTCAAGATATCCCAGGTTGTTTCACACACCTTCAGGCCCTGCCACCAGGCTATCCCAGGTTGTGTCACACACTGTCAAATCCTGCACACGGGATGTCACAGGTTGTGTCACATACCCCCAGATCCTGAACTCAAGATATCCGGGGTTGGGTCATACACTTTCAGATCCTGCATTCAGGATATCTCAGATTGTGCCACGTACCCTCAGATCCCACCCCCAGGATTTGTTAGGTTGTGTCACACACTTTCAGATTCTGCACCCAGGATATCCCTGGTATACTAACACCTTCACAGCCGTCACAGGTTGGGCACACTCTCTCAGGTCCTGCACCTGTAGCATCCCAGGTTGTGCCTCTCACCTGCAGGTCCTTTACCCAGCATATCCCAGATCGTGCCACATACCCTCAGATCCTGCACCCAGGATATGCCAGGCTGTGCCACACACCTTCAAAACCAGCACCCAGGATATCCCAGGCTGTGCCTCACAGCTGCAGGTCCTGCACCCAGGATATCCCAGGCTGTGCCTCACAGCTGCAGGTCCTGCACCCAGGATATCCCAGGCTGTGCCTCGCAGCTGAAGGTCCTGCACCCAGGATATCCCAGGTTGTGCCTCACAGCTGCAGGTCCGGCATGCAGGATATCCCAGGTTGTGCCTCACAGCTGCAGGTCCTGCACCCAGGATATCCCAGGCTGTGCCTCACAGCTGCAGGTCCTGCACCCAGGATATCCCAGGTTGTGCCGCACACCCTCAGATCCTGCACCCAGGACAGCCCAGGTTTTGCCAGACACCTTGAGGTCCTTCATCCAGGATATCCTAGGTTGTGTCACACACCTTTAAGTCCTGACTTAGGATTTTCCATATTGTGCCACACATGCTCAGATTCCACACCAAGATATCTCTGGCCATATTATACCTTCACAGCCTTCACAGGTCGTGGCACACACTTCAAGGTCCTGCGCCCGGGATATCCAAAGTTAACTTGTTCCACACACCTTCAGATCCTGCAACCAGTATATCCCAGGTTGTGCCACTTATGTTCAGATTCTGCACCCAGTTTATCCCTTGTCAGATCATACCTTACCAGCCTTGGTCTGTTTGTGCTTGAATGCAAGGCAGGCCGGATTTATATTGGGAAGGTAGCATCAGAATACTAAAGGACATAGCAATCAATGAAATCCCATTACATGTCCTTAGAGAATATAGTCAGGTCTGCAGTCTATCGTGGCGTGCTCGGGCTAATGGCTTCTGTACCTAAACAGTGACCATAGTTTCCGGCATGGATTCGGTTGACTAGTCTCTGTGCGATGTTTTTGTCTGTCCCAGTATCCTTGCCGCGTCTTGTGGATTTTGACTGGAGGGTTGACATCAAGACATCCTCAGACACACTGGCCAGGATGTCTGTGCCCACATGTGTACTTCAACTCAAGGTCAGCATTTACACATCATGCACATCATGCTGAGAAGTCTGCAGAAGATTGATGTAATTTTTGGTGTGCTGACACTACGACGAAGGAATCAGACATGGTGGCTCACAGAACAAACCTGGGCTGGTTTGACTTTGCCTTATTGAAATACCAAATCAGCTTATTGCAGTAAGGGTCTTAGTCACGAATCTATCAAAACCCTACAAAATTTGGAGGGGGCATGATTTCTTGCAAACTTGCAAGCTTCAGTATCGACACAGATAATTTGTGGCTCATTTTGTGAGATGCATCTGAGAGAAAAACAAGGTCCGGCCCCACCATAAAAGGTTTGGACATGTTTAGGCAGAAAGTCTGAATTTCGAATTAAATTGTGATTTTTTTTCGGTGCACAAAGTGGCATATTCAAGAAAAGACCACAAGGAATAAGCTATTTGCAAGTTCAATTTGAATAAAATCTGGTACACTGAGTTATCTGATTGCACATAAACGTAACAATTTGAATTCCCCAGACTGAAGACACTGTTACTATACCTTGTGATTTGGGGCCAGCTTTTGCATAGCGACCACCATCTCTGGAATGGACTGGCTCCTTTGTCTCCTTCTTATCCATTAAAAAGTCTGTTGGTGTATGTGCAAGGCGCCTCTTATTTAACTAAGAAAAAGTTTGCCCCGAATCACGAGGTATAGCAACAGTGTTTTACGATGGAGAATTCAAAGTGTTATGGTCACATGAATTTAAGGAACCCAGTGTACCAGATTTTATTCAAATTTAAGTCGCAAAAGGATTATTGAAGCCCATGTTTTACTAACAAAAAAGCTGATTGTGTCGGCAATAGAATGCTGATCATAAGTCTAATAAAACCAAAGTTGCAAAATCAGGCTTCTCTTTCTTCACTTCACGGGCATGGAATGGAAAATTCAGAAACGGTGCCCAGTCGCGTGTGACGCTTGGAGTTTATTTTTGACCTTCCAGTTGGATGTGTGGTTTGTCCGATGTGATGATTGACTTCTTCCATTTACAGGTTCAGGAGAATCCAACAAGAGTTGACACAGCTCCAGAAACATCCACTATGAACGTGGAGCTCAGCAAGGAGACACTAGACACCATGCTGGACGGCTTAGGGAAAATCCGCGACCAGTTAAACTCGGTCGCGCAGAAATGACGAGGAGTCTTTACAAGTCATTTTATGAAAGTATCCATAAAAGTAAAAGCAATCTAGCCTTTAAATCCTCGACGAAGAATGCTTTTGTCACAGCTCATTTGAATAGCTTGTGAATTGGCTTAAGACAGAATGACTTTGTGATGGACTTGTGATGGAATTACAGGGACTTGTGATGGACTTGAACACAACATTGGGGAAACCTCTGCTCGTTGTTATTGTGTGCAGGTTCTGTACACAAAGAATCGTAGAAGAAATGTAACTTTTACCATGCCTCTTTCTTCAACATTTCTGCTGAAATAAAGGCCGAGATAACATTGCTTTTGTGCGTGATTTTTCCTCTTGCAAACACGTTGGAGAGCACACCGTCTCGTTGAATCACCATTTGGGATTATCTGAATGCACTGACGTCATCTTACCATTTGCGGAAATCTGACAATTCTACTGAAAGTGCACGACCTTGATTTATTTGGGTTGATACAATTTTGGACATACTTGATTAACAGGCAGTCTTTGGTATCACTGGTCAAATTATGAGGTAGTGACAGGTCGAATCACAAGCCAACTTTCAAGTCAAATCAGAAGCCAGCGATGAGCCAATTCACAGCCCGCACAATAGGATGAACAGTAACCACGGGAAGCCCTTGACATATTTTATTGGGATAGCGTTTGTCTTCAGAATGGATGATTTGTGATGGCTGAGACCATCATAAGACAAGACACACTGTCACGGGTAAGTAACTCAAAATACCATCACAGGGCTGTTTAAGAGGTTGAACAATGGCAGAGAAATGCTTTTGGTAGAGATTAATCAAATATCTTCTGACTTGAATCCAGACCGGAGGTCTTGTGAGGTTCTTATGATGGTCTTTTGGAGCCTTGTGGTGGTCTTAAGAGGTCTTGACTACAACACTGTCGATGACTAACTCTAGAAATTCACTAAATACCAAGTCATCGGTTTCTTTTTTGGGGCCAACTGTAGCTGTTCCAGTGTGGCGGTCTCGGCGGTCCCCCTGAGTAGCTGGACATTAAACGGACGACTTCCCCGTTGTGCGCAGAGATGGCATGACGTATTTTACCATATAATGTGGTAAGGGGGACCGCTGAGACTGGGAGACAGCTTAGACCGTCACACCGGGTAGCACTTGGGTTGGTTTTTCTACAGAAGATAAGGAGTTTGGAAATGTCGACTTAAAAAGCTGGGACAACCTCAAGCTTCCATCGCTCTGTAAATTTCTCCCCAGCATTGAAAACTGTATTTCGATCCCACGTTGTTAGTGGTAATGGCTGGAATACTTTATTCGTGGCCAAATTACAAAAATTAAAATTCATCTGCAATAAACTGAGCACTTTTGGGTCCACCAAAGCTTGTAAAACGGGGCGATTAAAATTTGTGACCTCCAATTCCATTCTGCATTCCGCGTATAGATATTTCGATGGTAACAGGATGCACATCTAATAGGAATGGATTTTCGTTGTCCAATTTAAAATAAATTGAATGACAAATTCTTAGGTTTCTACTGTGGTATATTTAATGATTAATAACGAACCAGTAAGCCAAATCAAAGCAAAAATACCTTTAATGTTTGTACATATTTGAATCATCAACATCAGACTTGAAAAGTAGATTTGATTTTGGCAGTGTATATTCCAAGTACCTTTCACAGAAAGTGGTGTCAGAATTTGAAACCGCAGTATACCATGGACCCTGGTTATTAGAGGCCTTGTCCAAAAGTTACGGCTTGGCTGGAAACAACACATGTACCCGCTGGAGCCACTATTACTGGCAGCTGCAGCCACTTCTCATACACCTTAGTGTTGTTGCTAGCCACAGCCGATTGATTTGATATGGCCTGTCATTGCTCAGTTGCCCCTTATGAAATTTGAGAGATGTAAAGATTGCACCACTGACACCGACGTACATCAAAGGTCAGAGTGGTGATATACATGTATTAATCTTTTATACAACTTCGTAGCTCCGTAGAATTATGTTAAGTGGAATTTCAAGGCAACACATTTAAGCAAAGGAATACTTGATATCACTTTTAAAAAATTATATATATTCTTCGTGGATGATTGTTTCATCCGTTTGGTTTTCCAAGATCGATCGTCAAATCTCTCTTTAGTCTAACTTTATAAAGCGAATCAAGAACTATTGGTTCAACAAAATCAAAGAATATATTTTCACAATGTTAGATATATTTGTGCATTTTCAAAGCAAGGCTAGTCTTATGAAAACCCAGCATCAACAAGCAGTGTCAACAGTCGTTAGAAATTTGTAATAAAAGTTACATTTAATGTATTAAGGCGACCAAATCTCCCTTGCTAATTTGTTCTGTGAACACGATGTTTGTTCAATAAATGCTGTTTGGCGCACTATAGATGCATCCTCAGAGAATGTTTGAGAGATTACATCTGCGCGTTAGAGTGGTGCAAATTCCACGGTGAATCATCTCAATTTCGCCATGTGAGTGAGCATTAATCATTCACTCCACTTCAACCTGTCGGGAGCGTGTACGTGTACATCGAAAGTTCCGCAGTTGCAAAATGAGAGGTTTTCTTTTTTTTTTTTTTTTTGGCCTTTTGTTCCTTGCTGACAGTTTCCGGTGACATCAGCAGAGGGGCCCAAATTGAGTTGACAAGGGCCAGATAGCAGCCGAACGGAATCTTTTTAACTTAGAAAAAAATGTTTGTTCTGTCATGCTTCATTCATGTCACCACTCAGTAGCATTTGCGTCATCACTTGTGCGGTTTCTGACAAAAGCGCTGGAGCACTAACTTTTTGGGCCTCTGGGGTTATTTCACAAAGTCTCTCCATCTTGGATTAATAAGTCCAGGATCAATTCGCTTAGCCATGGTCCAATTAGATCAGCCAATACAAAACTGACTTGGCAGTCACATAAAGTCATAAAGCCCAACCTGGTGAGTCTATGAAATCAGTTGGCCATGATCCATCTTGCTCGACTAATTTACAACTGTTTGATGTGACTCAATAATCTTGACCGGTCTAACTGGCTTGGTAGAAATGTCGCCCGGCACGCTTGGCAAAACTTCAGACACGTCAAAACTCTGCGGACTCGGCTTAAGTTTAACTGGCTCAGAAAAAAAATCAGCTTCGTCGTGCAGATCGACTGGCATAGCCGTGCGCTGACCAGTTTCGCATACAGGTCTAAGTCCCAAATGGTCCGACTGGAATGAAAGGTTCCAACTTCTCTGTTCATGGACTGTAAAACAAAAGTAATGATAGCGTCCAAGGCAAATTTTCAAGAAGCCACTCCAGCCACATCTCTCAGTCCAGAAATGGGTTGTTTGAATTCTTCTTCGGAGGAGGATCTTCATCAAAGCTTATAGTGACTGTAGGTGTGGTAGGGCGTTGTCCAAGCGTCAACGGCTCAAAAGCAATCGGAATAGACTCCACAGAGAGGGCCTCGGTGCCTTGGTTACTGGTCTCCGGCACCTCTCCAGGACTGCTGTCGTCTTTCTTGTCGTCGGCTTTGCTCTCCTGGTCCTTGTTCTTCCGCGCCTCCCACTTCCTCACCAGGAACGACTTCCCCGTCCGGTCCCGGTCCCCGCTTCCACCGCGGGTGACGTCCCCGTCTTCCTTGGTCGCCTTCCTCATTAAGCTCTCGGACGACTTGCTCTTGGCTTTGCCCATCTTGTCCTCTCCGTCTTCCTCTTGGGCCAGCGAGTCCGGTTCCAGCAGGCTGTTCTCCTCCGCCTCCTCGTAGTGCCAGCTCCGCCTCCTGAGGGACTTGGGCATTGCCGGGAGGGGCAGCTTGTTGGCCACGTTATGCAGGCCGGAGGAGAGGCCCTTGCCCGCTCTCTTGATGTTGTCCAGGTTGGAGCTGGCCGACAGCCTCAGCTCAGCCGAGATGCGACGCACGCGGGTCTGCATGGGCGACCTCAGGGAACCCGAAACCAGGCCTATACCGGATAGCGTTAAAAAATTGAAGTTGAAAATTTAAATGCTGGAAAAAAAATGAAAAATGAAAACGACTGGTGTTAGAATGAACTTGCAATCTCTGAATCCAGAATACCACATGCACAATGCAGTTTTGCACAATGCTTTGATCAAAGGGTGCTAGTCAGCCTAAACCCATAGCATTGGCATCGACTTTCAGCAAAGCTAGAGACACCGGTAAAGGGCTCGATAGCAATGCCGTGTGCTCCAAGATCGCAGGGTCAAATTCCAATCCAGCCCAGTTCTTCCACTAAACAAAATGTTAATCATAAGTGAGCCTACTCAGTGCCTCCACCGTAGTTTATCCGACGATCGCAGAGTATTTTAGCGCAGCTGTCATAAGTACAGGTAGGCCTATGCTTTCCTCTGTCTGCCATGGCCTGCCTCTCACCGTGTTCCCACTCTTCTTTCTGTATCCATCCCGTTTTCATCCTTCGTCTTACTGTATCGTCTTTCCCCGGGTGCATCCGGCCCTCATCTGAATACCAATCCCCCCATATCCGGTGGATCATCCATCATGTACGCATGCATGAGTGAGAAATCCCCATTAGCGGCACTTCAAACCGCCGGTCACGTTTTTTTTCCCCCAGGCAGGGGATCCCTTCTTCTTTTAGCCACACACGACTGCCTCTCCTCAGGGGTTAATGTTGGGAGATGAGTGGAAATCAAAGAAACAAATAGTTTGAACGACTGTTTTAACAATGGCATCTATAACAGCTGTCTGTTTGGTTGTTTATTCCCACCTGTTTGTTTCCCTTTTCTGGTAGCTTTTACTAAACGTCTGCCAAGCATTATGACCTTTGCTATTCATCTGGGACCGCGTCTGCAGCGCAAATCACAGTTGACATAAAGCGCACCGCCATCCAGCCTTACAAGGCAAGCTACGAATACGGGCGTTTCACAATAGTGTGCCTCCAAGCGTTTGCAACGCGTGGGCCAATCACAATGCAAGAAAGCTGTCGACCCAATGCGCATTTGGAAATGGTCGACAAATTTCGCTCGTTGTGATTGGCCAACGTGTTGCAAACTCTTGGAGGCGCACTATTGTGAATCGCCCGCGTTGTGTGTAGCGGTATATCAGGCACGCGTGTCCAGAAACATTTGAAACGTCTGTGTCGTGTCTATCTCTGTAAAGTCCGGAGATGGTATTTTGCTGGATGGATTTCAAAAGAAGAGAGAAAAACGACTGTCGGATTCTTATTGTGAGGGCTCGGGACATTGTTTTTGTCACATGTTACGCGCGTGTCAGAAAGATCAGCTTCTTGGAAGTGATACCATAGTCTGGGATTAGCGAGTGCTTTCAGTTTGTTGGTAAATTGGCCTTGTTTTGCTGTGTTCCAAGGCGGGAGTGTTGTCATTCCCGCACCTTGTTTGATTAATAGAACACACACTCCATCACTGAAAAGAAGTCTGTCGCTGCCACCCGGCAGCCCTTCTGGCGAACGCTTTGAAAGAAAACGCAAAAATAATGTTTTCGTCCTTGGCAACCGGGATCTTAAGTGCGTCAGTTGTTTGACGACGTGTTGGATTTCTTTGTTGTTAAAGATTTTTTTTGGGGGGGGTTGAAGTCTATTACCGTCGTCTTCGTGGCTATTACTCTGCTTGACGTCACCGGCCTTTTTGACGTCACCTCCTACTCGTGAGTCTCTGTGCAGGTCCCCGTTGCTGCTGTCTCCTGCGTCGTTATCCTGAGTGAGTGCAAGATGGGAAAACAGCTGAAATGGGGATAAATGACAAAAAGGGAGGGGTGTTGCAAGGATGTTTATAATGGACCAAGAGCACAGTTAAGGCCTTCGCCAATTTACGAATGAAACTAGTCCCACAGGGTGGCCTATAGAGGGTTTGCGTGGCAGCCATCTTGCAGGCCAGTCCTTTTGTTCCACAGGGTATGCAAAGAGGAGGTTTCCCTGTGGAACAAAAGAACTTCCCTGCAAGATGGCTTCCACGACAAAATCTCTATAGATGCCGTTCGTTCACACTCGTATTCTCATCTAGGGCTCTGGTACATTTATATAGGGTCCTAGTTATGTCTAATCTCCAAGATGTATTTTTGCGTTGGGGAGATGTTAATTATATATAACGGGTTTG